TTTTTTTTTTTTTTTTGCCAATAGCCGAAATTCTTTTTTTTTCTTTTTTTTTTTTTTTCTTAACTTTTTGAATATATTTTTTCATATACAATTGATTCTCATAACGTTTCTTATTTAGGTCGAAGTTATCTTAATTTCGTTTTTCGTGTGCAAATGAAATTTATTATCCAGACATTGCCACGTTGCCATTTAATTGTCCATTTTTTACCAATCCAAGTGATTTTCACGACGCACAAGCCTTGGACCCTGTTATCGAATATTTTTTCAACGGATAGTATCTGGGTCAAGGATTTCTCGCTTTCGTTTCTTCGCTTCTTTATTTCTTCTTCGATCCAGTTTTTCCTGAATTTTATTGCTCTCGATCCTTTCCAAGTCGTGCCACTTGAAAATTTTAACAAAAAACACCCTAGAAAGGCAAGGCACCATATATTCCCCTATAGAATATTTTCATTCTCGCGTTCATTTCTCTCTAAAATTCTAATACTTTTCTTTCTTTTATCTTTCCTTTACTAACACTTTTGTACAAAAAATTCCAGATTTCATCCAAGATATCTTTCATGGGTCAAGCCGTGATTCTAAAAAGATAAAGCACATATTGTTATTGGATATTTGTCTTGAAAAAAAAAAAAAAAGAGAGAGAACGAAGCGTTTCAAAAGAAACATCGGAGGACATCGAAGACAAGAAGGTGGAGGCGCACATAACTTTCATATTAAAGCGTGTATGAATATCGTAAAATTTCCATAAATGTCACGCGAGCACGGAGACCCAATTTCTACGCGATCGTTGTGCAACCGTACGAGAGACACGCGAAAATACACGAATTTATCGTTCAATGTGTATCTTTAAACGCGTGAAATTGAATGAAATATTCTTCAAAATTATTTGCGCTTGATTATAATACAAGTAACATACGTGGACGTACAGAGAACGAAGAAGAAACGAAGAGGAATTGAGAGGAAGAAGAAGAATGCATTGTGTGCATCCGTGAAAAATCCAATGAAAAATA